GGAGTAAGGTCGGAAGGAGGAGAGGAGGAAGGAAGATTGAATGAGGTGAGGAGAAGTGCCGTCCTTTGGTTGCCCGCTCGAAAAGAAAGTCGCCCCGGAGTTTGTTTTATTCTGACTTGGGACGTGTTCCCGGAAGAGGAAGAAGTGCATCTCGGGCGTGCCCTCTCGAGGAAAATTCGCCCTGGGGGGGTGGTATTTTGACTCGGGGCCCGCTCCCGGGACGCCTCTACGGGAGGAGGAGGAGGAGGAGGAGGAGGGACAGGAGGAGGAGGGGAGGAGGAGGAGGAGGAGGAGGAGGAGGAGGAGGAGGAGGACCAGGAGCAAGGGAGGAGGAGAGGACCAGGAGGAGGAAGGAGAAAGTGTTGCGTACCCGCTCGAGGAAAGTGCGCCCTGGCGGGCGTCGTATCTGCCCCGGCCCCTACCCCCCCCTTCCCCCCCCCCGCCGTGTGTAGGGGGGCCCTCCAGCCATGTGAATCAGGCAGCGTAGCATCAGCATCATCAGCATATGGGAGAGCATGCTACGCATGGAATGAATTTGAGTTCCAGCACGCATAGTTACAAGTTTCCGTGGTGCCGCCCCTATGTCTGAACAAGAGAGCACGTGCGATGGAGCCGGTGCCTTTTTTGGCCTGCGAGCCGACCCGAAAAGGGCACCGAAGCTAACGTGCTCTGGCCGGGCGTTTCCGGAGCACGCTGGAACGTGCTCCGGCACAGCGTATCTGGAGCACTCTGGAGAGAGGAGGAGTGACGTAGTTTTTGGAAGATCTTTGTCCCACAAAGTGGGATAACGCATGTTGACCGTGGGCCGACTTTGGCCTTGGTTGGCGCGATAGCTTGCACCGCCATGTGTCTCAAGATCTCTGGGGGCTCAGCAGCAACGCCGCCTCCAGGGATGGGTTGCAATGTATTTTGCACTCTAGGTCAGCAGCTTCAGGCCGACTTTCGCCGTGACGCTGCACTTTGGCTCAAGATGGACGAGGAGAAAAATGGAGTCGTCAAGGCGAGGAGCAGGCCTCAGCGGCAACGCAGGCTTGTGACTCGCCTGTCGGTCTCCACTGAAACTGTCCTCCGTCTCCACTTCGACCTGCCCATTTCTCTTGAGCTGTCCCATACTCTACCTGTCCGGCCTACGGAAGCCGTCCGTCTTCTTCGGGAGCTGGTGGCTGGAACGCCGATTGAAGAGTTGACATCAGAAGAGCTATAAACAGAAGGTTGGACGGAACCTCATTACAGACTCCCAAGACCTCATCCCTATCAATTTTGTCATCATGTTCCCACATGGTTTCCATAGTGGTGCTGGTGGTAATGATGATTCTACTGCGTACTCCCTCGTCGGACCTGATGGCAGACTCTTGCCGGACGGCGTAACTGGGGTTATGAGCCCAACGCCGAGGGGCGCTGGATTCATGGGAGCACCTCCGTCTACATCAATTTCACCTTCTACTTCTACGTGGATGTTGCGTACATGCCCATGCTGTGGTGATATTCTGGCAGGCCCGTCAGTGAGCTGCACGGCATGCGGTGGGTCGGTCCACAGCCATTGCGTCACCCGCAGGCTGGGCCAGGCGGTGTGCATCGGCTGCGCGCAGAGCCTGGACTATGCCTACAGCCACCACCGCGCGCAGCACATGATCGCGCAAGGAGGCGCCGCCTTCGGCCGCCTCATGGCCTCGACGGGCACCGTCGCGGGCCAGGCCCTCGGAGCCGTCGCCATTGGCGCCGTGGGCGGGACCGCCCGGGTGGTCACTGGCGTGGCCGCCGGAGCCGCGTCCGCATGTCAGGGCCTCCGCGCCCTCGACGCACCGGCTTCCTCGACTTCGGGCGCGGCCCCGAATTCTGCACCACTTCAGCGGCCTCGTGCTTTGGAACAGTACGACATCTCGGACGCGGGCAGCGGGGCCGCAGTGTCCCTCGAGACCGCGGAGTCGGGGAGCGAGCTGAAGAGCCTCATGGCGGACATGCGCTCCACGAAGCGCGAGATTGAGAAGGTCAGGGCGGAAAACGTCCGGCTGCGTTCGTCAGCCTCGGTGGCTTCGGCTGCTGAGGCTAGGAGCGGGTTCGCGACGCCGGGCCCTGCTGTGCCTAAGCCCGCAAAGGGTGCACCCCAGAGCGGCCAGGCGAAACCTAGCGACCCAGCGCCCTCGTCGTGCGCTGCGGCCAGGCACGACGCGGACGACTCCGACGCGCCCGAGCCCGACGAGGACAACGAGCCGAATGCTGCCCAGATCGCCGCCGAGTATGAGCACGAGGATTGGACGATGCGGCAGGAGGCCTCCCAAGAGCCATCCCGAAACCTGCAGGAAGCACCCCCTGGTCTTCATCAGGATCATCTTGGTGCTCTTCCTGATGATCCTCGTCGACTTCATGTTCACCCCGCTGCTGTTCGCCGCAGTTAGACCACCGTCAGCGTGCGCACGCAGCTGGACTCCTTCACCGCGCTGCTCCCCAGCAGCAGGCTGGCGGCTTCGTTGCAGCCTTCCCTCAAGGAGCCCCTCAGCATCATCATCAACATGGTGGTCATCAGGGCGGCTTCGGAGGACTTCTTCAGCAGCCCCAGGGAGGTGTTGGAGGTAGTGGTCATCGCCACGGCGGCGCTCCAGGTGCCCCAGGAGGTGGAGGTGGCGGTGGGGACGACGATCCAGGAGGCGGCCATGGCTTCGGTCTTAGAGGATTTCTACCTCAGGGAGGTCGCGGACGAGCGCCGGGAGTTCCACCTCCGCCGCCGCCGCCGCCCGACCCTGCAGCCGCAGCCGCTGCGATCCACCAGGGCCCCCCGCAGCGTGACGCTGGCCTGGAGACCGTGTTCTCGAATATCAAGGCCGCGGAGCTCCCTCAGCTCACGTGGGGCGGGGGCGTGGCGGCCAAGCCGTCGAACCTGGAGCACTGGGTGGAGTCGGTTGGCCTGGATCTGGGAGGGCTGCACTGGCACATCAAGCGCTACTGGCTTCTGTGCCTTGACTCATGCCCAGTACCTCCAGGAGGGCCCGCTGATGCGCCATGCCGTGCGGCCGATCGCCATTGTGCCGGAGCCGTTCGAGATCTTGTTCCTCCACGCGGTCGAGCTCCGCTTGTGCTCCCTCCTCCTCCACCCCGTCCCGAAAACGTGAAGACCATGTGCTTATCGACGAAGCTCGTCAGCACGTGCGACATTCTCTTCACCGCGTGCGTGGACGCAGGGCCGGGGGCAGGGAGCGACAGGCATGCAGTCTTGGAGCGAGTGCAGAAAGGCATGGTGGTGGAGGTCATGGGGGTGTACAACGAGCTTGCAGAGTGGAAATTCGCGCTGAAACGCTAGGTCATCCTCAGCGCCAGCCTGCCTGACCCATCCATCCAAATGGCGGCCCTGAAGCAGGCCGCGAGCAAGCTCCTGCGTGACGAGGAGTTCAAGCGCCGCTTCTTCGCGTTCCTGGTGCAGAACAACATCGCGGCCGGGGCGGTCAACCAAGCTCAAGTAGATCTTCTCTGGAGGTACTTGAGCGCCGAGGCTCGGGAGTACTCGGGCGACGTCAAGGAGAAGGGCCATCCTAAGCCTTCGACGGAGGCGGCTCCGAGCAGCAGCCGCCGCGGCCGCCGCTGCCGCTGCGGCCGCCGGCAAGGGCAAGCCGACCAAGGGCGACCCGAAGGGCGGCAAGCCAGCCAAAGGCGGCCCGAAGGGCAAGCTCGGGAGGGGCAAGGAAGCCGCGGAAGGTAAGGGCGTGCCCCCCCCCCGCACTTCAACAACCTCGCGACGGGCTGCAGCGCGGGGTGGCCATGCCCGATGCGCCACTGCAAGTCGGATGGCGCCCGACTGGAGCCGACCGATGGGCGCTGCTTCAATTGCGGCGCGGGCGGCCATGACGCGGCAGCTTGCCGCCGGCCGCGGAAGCCCAAGGCTCCGGCGAAGGCCAAGAGGGGCCAGGCGGAGGACCAGAACGCAGCCTCGGCAGGATCCCCATCGACTTCGGCCGCTTGCGCGGACGAGGCGGGCAGGCCGGCGGCCGCTGGCAAGTCGGCAGCGGTTGCAACTCCGAGTCTTTTAACTACCAGCGACGTCAGCGGCGTCGTGCGACAGGAGCTGAGGTCCCTCATGGAGCTTGGGTCCTCCTCGGCAGTCCCTGCCGGGCGCGTGGCTCGATCTCGTCGTCCCCGAGGCCTCGCCGACTTCTACGACGACGACGATCGCGAGTTCAACGATGTCTTCGATGTCCCCCCACCGCCGCCTCCCTGGAGTCCGTCTTCGGCCGCAGCCGCTGCTCCTCCTGATCACGGTCAGCGTGCGTCTGCGCCGACAGCTGCGCCTGCTTCGACAGCAGCGCCCGTGCCGGCGCCGGCTGCTTCGGCTCCGCCTTCGTGCGGGCAGCCGCCGATCGTGCAGGTGGTCAAGGTCTCCGACGGCCCGCAGGCGAGGGGGCTTCTGGTCAAGGACGGCAGGCGCTGGATCCTCGCGGACACTGGCGCCTCCCACGAGCTTCGCGGCATCAAGTCCTTCAGCGACCTGCCTGAACGCGCCGCCTTGGTCCCGCTGGAGACGGCAACAGGGGTGGAAGAGGCCATGATGGTGGCAGATGTCGTGTATGTGCTGGGTGAGGGCCTCCAGTGGCTCTTCCCGTTGGGCAGCTGCATCGACGAGATGAGCCTAGACCTCTCATGGAGTTCCTCGGCATGCACCCTGAGCTGTCCCACGGGCGAGGTCACCGCCCTGCTCCGCGAGAAGGGCGCGATCTTCATTGAGGAGGGCGATGCAGCATTCCTGCGCGATCGCAGGCACCAGGCGAAGCGCGCCACCATAGTTGAGCGCACGAGCACTCTTCGCTGCTGGACTCCGTCGTCGTGAGCTCCTTCAGGAGCACATGGATGGCGGGCACATCAGCGTTCGACCCGACTGCCCAGGCTGTCGTGGCGCGCACGGTCGCCTTCGAGCCCGTCGCCGTTTCGACGTCTCCACGAGGCCCGGAGGCCAGCTCAGCATTGACGCTTCCGGGCCGCACCTCCCAGGGCGGTGGCCCTCCAGCCGCCCCGAGAACTCGGCGAGGCAGGCCGTTCACTTCCCTCTCGGGGCCTACGTCGTCGAGGCTCCGGCTGCCAAGAGGGACCGCGAGCGCCTGGAGTCGATCGCGAAGGAGAACGCGTTCGCAGGCTCCCCGCTCTCCAACCCTGAGCCGACGGCGCCGGGGGGGTCCGACGTCGGTGGCGCCCCTCGACTCGACGCTGCGGTCGCGGGCGACTCCGTCGAGCAGGACGCCGAGCTGGCGAAGAAAGTGGCGGCCATGTTCGGGGCGAATTCCTTCGGGGGCCTGGGGCTGCGGACGAATCGTGTTGGGCCCAGCGTCTGCGTGTCCAACTTCGGCCCTTCGGCGCGGCCCGGCAGGCCGAAACTCGAGCTTCCCGAAGAACAGGGGGAGAAGCTCTCCCCAGGCGGCGATCCCAGCATCGCGGCCGACGACGAGGTCGAGGACGAGAGCGGCATGGTCTCCAAGACTTGGTACTTCTGCGTGCCGCTGGAAAACCTCAAGGCCGCCAGTTGCATTCATGTTATCGAGTCTATCCTTGCCCAGCTTCGGATGGAGGTCGAGGGGGCCGACATTTGCCACCGCGTCCATGGTGATCGAGCTGGGGGCCTCACGGGGGACCAGATCAAGCGGCACTTCGAGGCGAAGCGCCTTCCGATAGCTGTTACTTCGACGCCGGGTTTCGAGCCCAGCTCGAATGGCCGGGCCGAGCGCGGGATCGGCGTGGTGAACCTGAGGGCCAGGGCAATGCTCCTCTCCTTCAGCGACCTCCTGGACCGGCAGGCCTTGTGGGCGTGCGCCGTGCAGCATTCTGCGCACTGCTCCAGGATGCGCGCACAGGGTCGACCAGTGAAGTGCCCCGCTTTCGGTGCGAAGGTCTGCGCTCGCATCAAGGATGTCCCTTCGTCCATGTGGGCAGAGCGGGCGCGCGACGCCGTGTTCCTGGGCGTGGACGAAGAGAGCAAATTGTTGATCGGGCGGAAGGACCTCGCCGCGAGGCGACCTGAGCAGCGGCGGGTCATCGAGTCCTTCGCAGTGGTGCCTGAGGACCCCGGTGGTGCTCAAGATGTTCGCGGCGAGGATCCAGGAGCAGGAGGAGCTCAACCAGATGGCGTTGCAGAGGCGCCACCTTTTGAATTGACCGGCGCTGGACCTCCGGAAGGTGCACTTCATGTTGACCACGGTCTCGGAGGAGCCCTTGAAGGACTTTGGCTCTGCCCCCGCGCTCGCTGAAGGTCTGCCGCGACCCTCCTCGGACGGCGCCGCGCGCCCAACAGCTCCTGCCCCGCGCGCCCCCAGGGGGGGCGCTGGCGGGTGCGGCGGGGGTTCCCTGAGCGAGCCAAACAGCGCCCATCGCGATGGCGCGGCTCTCGACCGTCGGCGGCGCGGTCGCCTTTCTGGTGGCGCTCCTGCCGCTGTCGCGGGCAAGTTCAGGTTCGACGCCCGCGTCCGGCGTGCAGAAGGTCATCGGCTTCCTCGAGGACTTGATGGCGCGTGCACTCATGCTCCTCGCGGCATCTCGCTGGGCAACGCGTTCAGGGACTCAGGAGGGGGGATCAGCAGTTTATGTCTTCGGTGTTCTATCTCCCGCATTGTCCTCTTCTCTGTCTTCTTCTCGTGCCTCCTAGATTGCTGGGCAATGGGCGCGGCTAACCCCTGCCGCTTTCGGGGTGCCCCCTCTGGGACCTCGGGGGGGGGGGGGGGGGCGCCGGGAACCGGTCTTATCGTTGGCGCTCCGACTGTGGTGCCGCTCTGGTCTTCTTCCTTGTCGTCGTCGGTGCCTGGGGGCCGGAGTGCGCAACCTCTCCGGGATCATTCAACGGCGGGGGCGGTTGGGCCTCCGGGCCTCTCCCCTGCCTCGGATCATGTGAGGGTAGGCGGCTGCGCCCGTGGCCCTGGCGAGTCGCATAGGGTGCCTTCGGACTGCGTGTGGTTCCTGCGCCCCAATCGGGCCCTCAGAATGCGGGTCGGCTGACCAAGCGCCAAAGGAGATTGGGCCGTATCTGGAGATGGAAGGCGACAAAAAAGAAGAGGAATTCTCGTGCGAAACGATGTCGTGCCTTCTATCGTTAATCGCTATTGCATCGGGCCAGGAAGAAACGAGGCCCCCGGGAAATTATTCTTCGGGGAGGAACGTGGAACACCCGGAAATTTGCTCCAGTCGTGGTTATGAATGTTCCCAACATAAGATCGAATGTTTTTTGTCCCTGATGCAATCCCGCCGAGGGGAATTCGGGACGTTTACATATGTGTACTTCTACCAGAGCGGCGTCCGAGAGTATGACGTAGGATCAGGCGTGTGGACGTTTATCATCCGTGGGGAAGTGCGCGTGGTTCTTAACCACCGCCTCGCCGAGCTGTGGCGTGCAGGTGGATCTAATGTGGTGGTGAGGGGGCGGTGGGGATCGGAAGGGGATTCGGGTGATGGGGGTGGTGCTGCCTAGAGTAGGAAAAACGAGGGGTATGTCGTTGATTTCCTGGTATGCACCAGTATCAGGCACCGCCAATCAGGACGCCCGTGACATCTTCAACGAAGAACTTCGGCACGTCGAGAGCCGCGTGCGCGGCCGCGACAATCTCGCTGTGGTTGGAGGCGACTTCAATGCGGAAGTCGGACGTCCAGGAGGGGAGGAGGAGGAGGGGTTTGTCTCGAGCGCTCGGGTTTCATGGCCCGGTCCGCCGTAGCGCGACCGGCCGAGGCCTCCTCGCTTTCTGCGCGTCTGTGCCATTCTTTGTGCTGAGCGCGGCGTGCGAGCAGCGGGGGCCGGCTGCGTGGTGGCGCCCCCGTTTCCGATCTGCCTATCAATTGGGCCATGTACTGGTGAGGCCACGAGACCGGCGCCACTTCACGGATTGTCGCGCACTACAGTTTGGTCTTCGGGGGGGTGCCGCGCCACCCCGGCGGTCGCAGAGGCGGCGCCGCAGGCGCCAACGGGCAGTCGAGGAACGGCAAGTAGGGGGGGATGGAATTGAGGCCTGGGCCCCGTGCACTGACCGCGACCCCGTGGAGGTCGGGGTACGATTGGAGGGGGGCTGGTCAGCGAGCCGCCGGCCTACCCGCAGTCGACCACCCACCCCCAACTATGCAGGCATGGTGGGCCTTTCTGAGGGGGCAAAGGTCAGGAAGGAGCAGTTTGCCGCGAAAATCACCGACATGCTTCGCACCTTGGACAGCCAGGCCGATTGGAAAGCCATCTGTCGCGTTGCGCACGAAGCCGTCCTGGAGGTGTTAGGGCCCCGCGAGCGGCGCCACCAGGTACCCTGGTTGCAGGGGCGCGAAGCTGAGAAACGAGCGCTCGATGATGCGGTGGCCGCAGCTGTCACGGCATGGCGAGCAGCTTCGGAGGAGACCAAGGCGGCGGCGGTTACGGCGAAGCGCGCGGCGCTTCGGGACCGCAGGGGGCAGCTTCGACAATGGGGGCGCCACTATTGGAAAGGGGTGGGAGAACGAGCCTCCGCGGCCTCTGGTTGTGGTGATCAGGGTGAACTTTTTCGTCTTTTTCGCGATCTGCGCCTCCGTAGAGGCGACAGGGGAGATTGTGGCCGATGGTCCTCCGAGCGGGCGGAACAGGAGCGGGAACTGTGGAAGGCGCATTTCGCGGCCATCTCCGGGGGCGTGGGTGTCGTTCCGGAGCATGTGTGGAGAAGTGTCCCGGAGGTCCCTGTGTCGGCTCTGTGGCTGGATTCCCCTCCTACAGTTACCGAGTTGAAAGCGTGCATCCGAAAAATGCAAACTGGCCGCCAGCCTGGGGAAGACGGGTTCGTGGCGGAGGCCCTCAAGTACGGGGGCGAGGCCTTGCAGTCAGCAGTCTTTGAGATTGTCAGGACCATGTGGGCACGTGCCGCACAGGCGGATCTGGGGGGGGAGGGAGTTGCTTGGCCGGACGAGTGGCAGGTTGGCCTCGTCGTGCCACTGTGGAAAAATAAGGGAAACCGTAAGGGCAAGAACACGTGGCGAGGCATCGCGCTCTTGTCAGTCGGGTCCAAGTTGGTGGCACGTGTGGTCGCCTCCCGACTCTCCCAATGGTCTGAAGGCTTCCTGGGGGAGGAACAATCGGGGCTTCGCCGGGGTCGAGGTACCGACGATGCTCTCCAGGTGACTCGTCGCTTGATCGAGGAAGCAGCCGCGTTGCGGACGGGAGAAATCGTCGCATTTACGTTCTTTGATATCGAGAAAGCGTACCCCAGAGTATGTCGTCCTGCATTATGGCGGCTGTTGGAGAGGCGCGGGTGTCCCCGGGGATTCCTCCGGGTCTGCAAGGCCTTGCGTGAACGCGCGGGATGCCGCGTGCGTGTCTTGGGAGGGCTGTCCGATGCGTGGTTCCCTATGAGGGGCCCCAGGGAAGGATGCCCCTCTAGCCCTCCTCTTTTCAACATCTTCCACGATGCTGTTCTTAAGGACTACCGTGGCCGAAGGAAGCGGGCGGCCGAAGCAGTGGGGGCTACTCCGGGAGTGCCGTGGACCTATTTGGTAGACGGTCGATTGGGTAAAAGCGCCCGTGCTCGGTCCCAGGGGGGCGGTGAGGGAGGCGGGGCTTCCCGGCGAAGGCATGCAGTGATTGGGGGCGTTGGTTTGCCGACGACGCGGCGTTGGTGGTTTTCTGGAAGAAATGCAAGCCGCTGGGCCGCTCCTGGAGAGGACCATGGCGGACTGGGAGGAAAAGAGCAACCCTGGTAAGAAGGGGCGGCGCCCTATGACGTCAGACGACAGCACGAGGTGGCGTCATTGAGACACCTTGGTGGGATGCACCACAAGACCGGCCGATGGGCGACGGATGCCACGAAACGTGTCCAGCTTGGCAACACTCTGGCCCGATTAATTGCCAAAGCGCGGGCGGTGGGCTCGGCGCGCGGCCGCGGCCGCGGCAGCGGAGTGTCCATTGCGACCAGGCTTCAAGTGATGCAGACTTGCATGGTGGCCGCAATTACCTCTGGTTGTCGTTTGCGCACGTGGGCCAGGCAGGATTTTGGTCGGCTTCAGAGGGTTGTCAATTATGCGGTCCGCCGGTCGTTTGGCATGGACATCGCGATAATGAGGGGACATCACATCTCGGATGCTGCCATGTATGAGGCATCGCAGTGGCTCCCAGTGGAAGATATGATCACCCGCCTATCTCTACAATGGCTTGGACATGTCGCCCGCATGCCCGTGTGGCGCATCCCCAAACAGGTGCTTTTTGGTTGGCTGGATGCCAGAGGAGGCGCCGAGGATCACAGTGGCCCCCATGCACAGTCCGCATTCCTTCGGCGCGGCTTGCGGCGCATCGAAGTCCACGACATGGACTGGTTCCGCCGGGCCCAGAACAGGAAGGGCTGGAAACGCACGATCGATAAGGCGTTTCCCCGGGCCGTGGCCGCAGCGGAATACAAACGTAGTGTGGACAACTGGACTCCTGGTTTGGCGCTCCCAGTGCCGCCCGCCGTGGCCGCCCCGGCCGTTCCTCCTCCCTTTCCTCCCCCTTTTACCTCCCCCTCCCCCTCCGTTCCCCCTTCCCCCCCCCCCCCCCCCTTTCCCCTCCCCCCCCCTTTTCCTCCCCCTCCCCCTCCAGCGGGCGGCAACGGGTATTGCTGCCCTGTGTGCCGTCGGGTATTCTCAAAGGGCAACCAGATGCACTACCATTACGACGAGGCGCACTCGGTCCGCGACCCACACCTTGTCACGAGCGTCTCCCATCAGTGCCCAGATTGCAAGGAGTTTTTGGGCTGCGGCTTGCGTCGCCGCAACCGAACCTGTCCAGCTCGGCTCGAGCTCCGGGAGGCTCTACAGACACAGGCTGGTAGCTGGCTGCCTGTAGCAATGGGTCCGCACCCCCCGGGGCCGTCCTCGTGGTGGGCGGCGGCGGATGGATCGGGCCAGGATGGGGAAGCGGGCTGGGGGGTCGTGCTGTGGCGGGTTACGGACCTGGGTCTGCCCGGGATGGTCCCGGACTACGTACTCTATGCCCCCGTGGTGAGCAGGGCGTGGGACCACAGGTGGTTGGGTGCCAGGTGCCAGACAAACAACACCGCGGGGCTGTCAGCAATAGGTGAGCTCATGCTTTGGCTGCTGGAGAAAGCCCCAGACGGCGGATACGTACCCGTGCACGTTCGGTATGATTCCGAGTACGCGGCAAACATAGCGCGAGGCCTGTGGGGGCCCAAGGCAAACGAGGAACTTGCAGAGTCGGTGCAGACGCTCACTGAGAAGGTGGCCGTAAAGCGCACAATCACGCGGGAGCACGTGTACGGGCACACGGGGGCTCACGACAACGAGCTTGCAGACCGAGCGGCGGACCTGGGCGCTCGAGGGTATGCGTCCGTGCAATCAGCCAGGTGGATGTCGGCTCCCCCTGCTTTCGCTGAGTTGCATTCGAAGGATGTGGATTATTGCAAAAAGTGTCGTTTGAAGGTGCTCACCAGAGATCTGTATGGCCACATCCGTCGGTGCGCAGTGGCCAGTTTCGCGATCCCGGCCGGCGTGGGGAAGCGTCGGACGTGCCTCACTTTTGTTAAGGGAGAATGCCGCACCACACATGAGGCCAAATGCAGGGGCAGCGACATTTTGAAGCGTACGTGTAGTAAGTGTGGGCTCGTCTTTCCGCCCCCTCCGCCGGGGCAGCTCTGCCGGCCGCTGGGCAACCGCGAGAAATGGTGCCGGGGGACTGCTGCTGCGAAGGCAAAAGGGCAAGGCAGTTGCGGCGGCGGCGGCTGCCCCGGGGGCGGCCCCAATGCCCCCCCCCCCCGCCGGCGGTGGTAGGCGTCGCTAAACCAAAGGCGCAACCTCAGGCAAAGCCGAAGGCGGGGGCGGGTGCGAAGGCGGGCCCCCGCGGGAAGGCGGGCGCAGCCCAGGCAGCTGGCAAAGCCCGGGGGGCGGACGCCAAGGCCAAGGCGGTTCGCAGGCTGGGCGGAGTAGTCCGGAGACGCCCGGCCGGCCCAGCCTGGTAGGAACCTGCGGTTGCTTGCTTGCTGTTTTTTGGGGGGGAGAGGGGCTCGGGCGCAGGGCGTGTGGGTTGTGGGTGGTGCCCGGCCAGAGGTGGTTGTGCTGTGTTTCTGCGTTTCTCGCCTGCAGCTGCCAGCGGCGCCCCTGAGGCGATCCGTCACGGGCTGATGCAGGCCCCGTGCCTTGCATCGGGGGCGGCTCGGGTAGGGCTCGCCCTGCCCTCTCTGTGCCAAGCGAGCCTCGGGCTCGCCGTTGCCGCCCCCGGCCCCGCTGCAGGGGGGCCAACCAACGGTCGGTGTGCCGCCTGCCGCCTGCATGCCCCGCGCCCGCTGTTGTGTTCTCTTGCTGATTTTTGTGCTGCGCCTGCTCGCGCCCCTGCGTTTATGCAATGTTTTTGGTTGTCCTTGGACCGCTACTCTCGGACCGTCGTTCGCAGCTTTGAAAAAAAAGGAGGAGGAAGGGCCTCCCCCCCTTGCCTGCCCTGTCCCCCTTCCCCTTCCCCCTCCTCTTCCCTCCCCCCTCCTTCCCCTCCCTCCCCCCTCCCCCTCCTTTGTCTCCCCCCCTCCCGCTCCGCTCTCCCTCTCGCCTCCTCGGATCCCTTCCTCGCGTGCGCGCGATGCTTGGCGCTCGCCGATCCCGACAGCTAGCTGCTCACGGCTGCCCCCCTCCCGGCGCACCAGGTAGCGCCCGAAGGCCGTTCAACGCCCCGTGTCTCGGGGCCCCTGCGGGGCGGTCTTGGGGGGCGGGGGGTGCGGGGGTGGGGTCTGGGGGTGGGGTGGGGTGGGGGCGGCGGGGGCCCTCGTGGGCAGTGTGTGTCGGGAGGTCATCGGGCAGGCCCTCCGTTGGTCCACCGACGGTCCTGTGGTGTGTCCGTCTGTGGTGATTATGGCCGCTGCGCGCAGGGCCGAGACCGACCGCCGCCTTCAGAGCCTGGAGGAGCGCCAGTCGATCACGGAGGATCGTCTGGCGCGGGCGGCCGGCCAGGTCGAGGATATCGCGCGGTCCACGAGCTTAGTGCTCAAAGGCTTCCCTTCGGTGGAAGAGGCCGGCGCAGCACCGCGAGTTGCGGGAGGCGGTGCTGGGCGCGATCGGGAAGGACCTGGCCACGCACCTGTCGGTGCCCTGGCCCTTGCCTGCCCTGGGCGCCGCGGTGCCCGCCGGCGGGTTCCCGGCGGAGACGTCGTGGGCGCGGTCTGTGTTGGAGGAGCTCAGGCAGCAGGGTGCGGTCAAGGCGGTGTACTCGCAGAGCAGGTGGGATGACGCTGCCCAGAACAGGGTCAGGATCCCAAGTGTCTTCCGTGTGAAGGTCCGCTTCGGGGCGTCCTCCCTGGGGGCGCAGCAGGCCGTGGCGGCCCTGGGCCACCCCCTGCGCAGGGCGTCCGGCCTGCCAGTCGGCGGCGCGGCCCCGATGGCGCCGGGCCCCCCCGCCCGCGCGCGGGCCCCTGTGCTCGGGGCGGGCGGAGCAGGAACGCCAGCGGGCCTGGCAGGCCAAGGGCAAGGCCCAGGGCAAGGCGCAGAGCAAGGCGCAGGGCAAGGGCAAGGGCCGGAAGGGCAAGGGCCGGAAGGGCAAGGGCGTCGGCGGGTCCGGTGTCCTGCAGGCCGGCAGGGGCGGCCAGGGCGGCAAGGGCGCCCCGGGGGCGGCGCCCCCAGCGGGTGGGGCCCCCCTGGCCGCCGCCCCGGCTGCTGCCGCTGCCGCAGCAGGGGGGGGAGGCGGCGGCCGTGCAGGCCGGGGCGCTCGCGCCTGGCGCGGCAGCGGCGGGGGCGCCCCCCGCGCCCTGGAGGCGGCCGGCGGCCGCGTCCGCCGCGGACGCCTAGAGTGGCGACGGCCTATGCCCGCCCCTGGATACAGGGGCCCCGCGGGGGCGGGTAGGCTAGCAGGGGGGCCGTGCGTGTCAGCTGGAATTCGCGGCTTGGCCGCCCAGGACCAGCGCCTCTCTCTTAGTCCCGTGGTTATCCATATCTGTCATCCTGCAAGGAGGTATGATGGGGATGTTTTTTTTTTTTTTTTTTTTTTTTTTTTTTTTTTTTTTTTTTTTTTTTTTTTTTTTTTTTTTTTTTTTTTTTTATGTTTGTTTTTTGTTGTTGTTTTCTTGTGTTTTTTTTTTCTTCCTTATCCTGTGCTTGGTGTTGACATTACAAGCGGAAGCCTCCATCGCCCCCGCCGCGCCCGTCTTCTCACACATCGCTGGCTGGTTGCTTGGTGATGCATTGTCCGCCTGTCGTTGCGGATGAAGATGGGGGAGGGAAGAGGTGCCGTTTTTTTTTTTTTTTTTTTTTTTTTTTTTTTGTTTTGTGTGTGTGTGTTTTTTTTCTTCCTTCTCCTGTGCTTGGTGTTGACATTACAAGCGGAAGCCTCCATCGCCCCCGCCGCGCCCGTCCTCTCACACATCGCTGGCTGGTTGCTTGGTGATGCATTGTCCGCCTGTCGTTGCGGATGAAGGTGGGGGAGGGAAGAGGTGCATGTTTTTTTTTTTTTTTTTTTTTTTTGTCTTCCCCCGTGAGGAACACGGGGGCCCCCACCGCCCCCTCCACGCCCTCTCACAGGTGGTGGTGCGATCTGTTGCGAGATCACTTCCCCTTCCCGGCCTCGTCGTTCCTCCCCCTATTTTCCCCTCCTCCCCCCCCGGCCTCCACCGACCCCCCCGGACGTGCCCCCTCCCCGCCCGTCGTCGTCGCCCCCCCCCTCCGGTTTAGGATTTTTTGAAGGTCTACCGGCCCGCCCCGCGGTCGCTCGTGGCGGCCGGCGCGCGGGGGGCGGAGACGGAGACGGAGGCGCAGCCTTTGAAGGTGCTGATGGCCAGAGTCCCAAGAGCAGTGGCGACCCGAATGCGCCCCTGGAACCCCTTCCACCCGCGGGATCATCGGGCGACCATCTTCGACGACCTGCCGACGCAGACGGTGACCGAGATGTGTTCGAGGAGGTGGTGCCGAAGGACATCGCTTGTCCTGCGTGCCGCGGCCTCCACCGCGCGCGCGTTCGAGGCGCGCGTTGCAGGCGCGGGCCTCTCCTGAGCGACGCCGGCGAGCAGCCCTTCGATCGCGGAGCTCCCGGTGGAGGATTTTCTTGCCCTGCCTGCCGCGGCCGACATGTCAAGCACACCAGGGGCCACAGGTGCAGGCTGGGGTCAGGGGGGGGCAAGCATCAACGAGTTGCACTCGCAGGTTTCAGTCATCGTGATGTTCCTGATCCTCAGCCTTTTCCTCACGTGGTGGAGTATTACGAACGCATTCCTGTGGCTTTTGCCACCGCGGCCCCGGAGCAGGTCACCTTCGCCGCGGACGACGACAATGCGCCTCCCGAGCTCACCAAGATCGTGAAGGGCAGCGGGCTGAGCATCGTCACGCGCGCGGAGATCGCGAAGATGATCGGGGTGACCAGGGGGAAGTGGCGAGCGGCACTCGAGAGCGAGCTTAACAGCCTGAAGGACGGTTGTCTCTTCCCCTCACGGCCTCGGAGGCGCACTCTGTAGAGCCTTCCGAGATGCTGCCCATGGAGGTGGTTGCGGGGCAGAAGGCTCCAGGCGCTTCTGGCTATCGGCGCTTCAAGGCGCGCGGCTGCGTGTGCGGGGCGGTGGGCCCCTCGGAGCAGACCTTTACGCAACATGTAGACATTGCCAGCCTCCGCATGGCGCTCGCCGTGTGCGCGCACCGTCGTTGGAGCGTGTCGGCCCTCGACGTGTCAACCGCGTTTCTGAGCGCGTTGCTCCCTGTGGACAAGAAGCGAGTGGTCATTCGCCCACCGGCCATCTTCGTCAAGTTCGGGCTGGTGCCGGCGGGCGAACACTGGGCGGCCGAGAGGGCCATCTACGGCCCGAGGTGCTCGCCGAAGGCTTGGGGCGATCTGCGCGACGCGGAGCTCCGCAAGCTGACGTTCACCGTCGGCGCGCTCCAGTGCCACCTCGAGCAGTCTGCCGTCGATAGCTCGGTCTGGCTCGTCAAGGCGAACGGGGTGGACGACGTCTTGGGCTATGCGCTGAGCTACGTGGGCGACTTCTTGTTCATGGGCTCCGAGGGCGTGGCATGGGCCCTGCAGACCTCCATCGGCGCGCTCTGGACTACGAGTTCCCAGAAAATCATCTCCCCGGACTGTCCGGGAACCATTCGTTATTTGTCCATCGACATCCGCATAGGCCCCTACCGCCTGACGCTGAGCCAGCACGAAAACGTCCACGACATGCTGATGAAGTGGAACATGGCCCAGTGCAGCGGCTGCCAGTCGATCAGCCCCGACGATGAGATCTACCTGCCCTCCCAGCCCGAGGACGACGAGGAGAAGCCTGACCCTGATGATGTGCGCGGTGCGCAACGGATGGCAGGTGGACTCCTTTGGCTTTCGAGCCGCACTCGGCCAGACCTGTCCTACAGCGTCTCGCGGATCTCAAGCCATGCGACTCGGAGGCCGCGTGCGCCCCTCGTTCTGGGCAAGAGGGTCTTGCGGTACTTGGCGGCTACCCGCCTGTTGGCGCTGGTCTACGTGCTGAGCACCCCCCGCGAGCTGCAGGACCTCATCTGCCAGTTGGACGTCTTCTCGGATGCCAGCCATGGCGATGCGGGCGCGCAGACAGGCGTCGTTTGTTTCATGTATGGGCGCATGCTGGTCGACCGGCGCAGCTTGAGGCAGCAGTTGGTCTGCTTCTCGACGGCCGAGGCGGAGATGAATGGTCTCGCCCTCAGCTGCCAGGCGCTCTACGGTCCGGAGGCGGTCGCCCACTCCATGGAGCTGCAGACGACCGCAGTCCTCCACGGCGACAACCAAGCGGCGAACCACATCGCCGAGGGTCGCGGCAGTTGGAGGACGAGGAGCCTTATGACTAAGGACAACGCCATCCGGAGCCGAGTTGAACGCGGCATGTTGGAACTGATCTACGTGGTGACGGCTCTGATGCGCGCCGACGGGCTCGCCAAGAGCAAGGGGCCTCACCACGTGGCGAGGGTCAGGGCCCACTTCGGCTTGTGGGGCATCTGAGCGCGCGCAGCGCCAGAGCACTTGAGGGGCCCCTACACCCTGATCGAGCTGCGGGGTATGTCATCCGATGTTGGGTGCGATCGGGATTGTCCCTGTCCCACTGCACAGGACTCCGAAGGAGAAGCGTGTGTAGGGGGGCCCTCCAGCCATGTGAATCAGGCAGCGTAGCATCAGCATCAGCAGCATATGGGAGAGCATGCTACGCATGGAATGAATTGGAGTTCCAGCACGCGTAGTTACAAGTTCCCGTGGTGCTGCCCCAATGTCTGAACAAGAGAGCGCGTGCGATGGAGCCGGTGCCCTTTTTGCCTGCGAGCCGACCAGAAAAGGGCACCGAAACTAACGTGCTCCGGCGGGGCGTTTCCGGAGCACGCTGGAACGTGCTCCGGCAAAGCGTATCTGGAGCACGCTGGAGAGAGGAGGAGTGACGTAGTTTTTGGAAGATGTTTATCCCACAAAGTGGGATAACGCATGGTGACCGTGGGCCGACTTTGGCCTTGGTTGGCACGATAGCTTGCGCCGCCATGTGTCTCAAGATCTCTGGGAGCTCAGCGGCTACGCCGCCTCCAGGGATGGGTTGCAATGTATTTTGCACTCTAGGTCAGCAGCTTCAGGCCGACTTTCGCCGTAACGCTGCACTTTGGCTCAAGATGGACGAGGAGAAAAAGGGAGTCGTCAAGGCGAGGCGCAAGCCTCAGCGGCAACGTAGGCTTGTGACTCGCCTGTCGGTCTCCACTGAAACTCTCCTCCGTCTCCACTTCGACCTACCCATTTCTCCTGAACTGTCCCATACTCCTACCTGTCCGGCCTACGGAAGCCGTCCGTCTTCTTCGGGAGCTGGTGGCTGGAATGCCGATTGACGAGTTGACATCAGAAGAGCTATAAACAGAAGGTTGGACGGAACCTCATTACAGACTCCCTGGACCTCATCCCCTTCAATTTTGTCGTGATGCTGGTGCTGCTGCTGCTGACGATGATGCTGCTGCTGACGATGATGATGGTGATAGTGGTGGTAGCGATGGTGGTGATGATGGTGGTGGTGGTGATGATGGTGGTGGGGATATTGGTGATTGTCATAGTGATTCTGACAATGCTGCTGCTCTGATGCTGCTGCTGCTGCTGCTTATCATGTTGATAATGATGGTGGTGGTGGTGGTGGTGGTGGTCATGATGAAGATGAACAGCAATATGATGATGCTACTGCTGCTGCTGATGATGTGGATGATGGTAGTGATGCTGCTGATGATGTTGCTGATGATGCTGATGATGATGTTGAAGCTGCTGCTGCCTGCTGCCTGCTGCTGCTGCTGCTGGTGCTGATGCTGCTGCAGATGATGATGCTGCTGCTGATGATGATGATGATGATGATGCTGATCATGATGATGGCCATGCTGGTGCTGCTGCTGCCTGCTGCTGCCTGCTGCTGCCTGCTGCTGCTGCTGCTGATGCTGCTTCTCCAAATGATGATAATGCGGATGATGATTCTGATGATGGTGGTGATGATGGTGACGATGATGCCGTTGATGATGCTGCTGATGATGACGATGCTGGTGATGATGATGATGATGATGGTGATAGAAGTGGTGGTGATGCTGATGATGATGGTTGTGGTGGTGGTGATGTTGGTGGTGGTGGTGATATCGGTGATCGTGATGGTGATTATGACGATGCTGCTGCTCTGATGCTGCTGCTGCTTATGGTGATTTTGATGATGATGCTGATGATGATGGTGGTGGTGGTGGTCATAATGATCATGATGATGATGCTGCTGCTGATGCTGATGCTGATGCTGATGTTGTTGATGATGCTGATGATGATGCTGATGATGCTGATGATGATGGTTATGCTGCTGCTGCTGCTGCCTGCTGCTGCCTGCTTCTGCCTGCTGCTGCTGCTGCTACTCCAAATGATGATGATGCTGATGATGATGCAAATGATGGTGGTGATTCTGGTGGTGATTCTGGTGGTGGTTATGGTGATTATTGCGATGCTGCTGCTGCGGCGGCTGCTGCTGCTGCTGATGATGATGATGATGATGGTGGTGGCGGTGATGATGATGCTGCCGCTGCCTGCTGCTGCTGTTGCTGCTGCTGCGTGTCGCGGCTGCCGCTGATGCTGCTGCTGATGCTGATGATGATGGTGACGATGACGATGATGGTGATGATGATGATGATGATTATGATGCTGATGCTGATGATGATGATGCTGATGATTACGAGGATGATAGTGATAGAGGTGGTGGTGATGATGATGATGATCATGGTGGTGGCGGTGATGATGGTGGTGGTGGTTATATTGGTGATTGTGATGGTGATTATGGCGATGCTGCTGCTCTGAGGCTGCTGCTGCTGCTGCTCATGATGATGATCATGATGATGATGATGGTGGTGGTGGTGGTGGTGCTTGTCATGATGATGATGCTGCTGCTGATGCTGATGCTGATGCTGATGTTGATGCTGCTGAGGTTGATGATGATGGTGATGCTGCTGCTGCTGCCGGCTGCTGCCTGCTGCTGCCGCTGATGCTGCTGTTGCTGCTCCAAATGATGATGAAGATGATGATGATGCTGATGATGATGATGATGATGACGATGATGCTGGTGATGATGTTGGTGGTGGTGATTCTGGTGGTGGTGATGGTGATTCATACGATGCTGCTGCTGCTGCTGCGGCTGCTGCTGATGATGATGGTGGTGGTGGCGGTGATGATGCTGCTGCTGCTGCTGCTGCTGCCTGCTGCTGCTGATGCTGCTGCCGATGATGATGATGATGATGATGATGATGATGATGATGATGATGATGATGATGATGATGCTGATGCTGATGGTGATGATGATGATGATGCTGATGCTGATGATGCTGCTGGTGATGCTGCTGATGATGCTGATGAAGATGGTGATACTTGTGGTGGTGATGATGATGATGCTGATTATGATGATGATGGTGATGGTGGTGGTGATGGTGGTGGTGGCGATATTGGTGAATGTGATGGTGATTGTGACGATGTCGCTGTTCTGATGCTGCTGCTTATGATGAGGATGATGGTGGTGGTGGTGGTGGTGGTGGGTGATGATGATGATGATGATGATGATGCTGATGATGATAATGATGATGCTGATGACGGTGATGATGATGATGATGATGCTGATGATGATGCTGATGATGATGATGATGATGATGATGATGATGATTATGCTAATGATGCTGGTGCTGCTGATGATGATGATGATGATGATGATGATGATGATGATGATGATGATGATGATGATGATGATGATGATGATGATGATGATGATGATGTGAGAGGAGGAGGAGGAGGAGGAGGAGGAGAGAGGATGGCTCAGGAAGAGGAGGAGGAGCGGAGGAGGAGCAGGAGGAGGAGGAGGAGAGGAGGAGGAGGAGGAGGAGGAGGAGGAGGAATCGCGCTGGTCGGCCAGGCGCAGGGGAAGAGCCCGATCGCCGAGTGCCTGCTGATCCGCTACGCCACGCAGATCCTGACGACCGAGCGGGATCCCCAGGCGGAGCGCCGCGCCCCGCCGCGCGATGTGCGCTCCGCACCCCTGCGCGTCCGAGCGGCCCTCCGCCGACAGGGGGGCTCCCTCTCCGCTGCCATGGAGGATCGGTTACGGGAAGACGGGGGGGCTCCAGTGGTGCGGGCATAGCGGAGGGAGAAAGGCAGGGGAGGAGGAGGAGGAGGAGGAGGAGGAGGAGGAGGAGGACAGGCGAGGGGGGGAGGATGAGGGGGAGGATGAGAAGGTGGACCGTGACTGGACTGGACTATGACTACGGCTGCACTGTCTCATGAGGGCAGACGAGGACGAGGACGACGTGCCCCGCCCAACCGACCGACCACTTCCGACCGACCCACTCTCCCACGACGACGACATTGACTGCGATGTCGACGGCGACCGACGACGTGTCCCGCTCGACTGGCCGACTTGGCCACGACGGCGACGGCGAGTGCGACGGCGACGGCGACGGAGAGGGGCGCTTCGACGCCCAGGGCCCGCCCGCCCGAGCCGCCCGTCATAGGGCTCGCCCGCCCTGCTCGCCCCGTTCTCGGGGCCCGCCCGTTCGCCTGCCTGGAAGCCCGCCTGCCGGCTTCAGGGGGGCAGGAGATTTTCGACGCGGGTGGTGCTGGAGGGTTTCTGCGAAGGGCTTAGGCGACCCGTCCTCCTCCTTCTCCTCCTCCTCCTCCTCCTCCGCCTCCCCCTCCCCTCCTCCTCCACCTCCTCCTCCTCCTCCTCCTCCTCCTCCTCCTCCTCCTCCTCCTCCCCCCTCCTACTCCTTCTCCCTCCTCCTCCTCCTCCTCCTCCTCCTCAGCCTCCTCCTCAGCCTCCTCCTCTGCCTCCTCCTCCTCCTCCTCCTTCTCCTCCTCCTCAGCCTCCTCCTCCTCCTCCTCCTCCTCCTCCTCCTTACCTCCTCCTCCTCCTCCTCCTCCCCGTCCCCCTCCTCCACCTTCTCCCCCTCATCCTCCTTCTCGGGTCGCTTACGGCCGCGGGGAAACCGTCCAGGCGGCGACATCTTCGTGTCCGCTCCCTCGCGGTCTGGACTCCATGGCGCAACCCCGCGGAGGCGCGATCGCACGGATGCGATCCGCGCGAGGCATCCGCGACGAAACGCCCCGTATCCGCCGGTTCGTGGCCCAGTGGCCCTGCCCGCGAGGCCGTGGATGCGGATATGCTTTTCATGTTTGCTCACGAGGGGTCCCAGTTCCAGGGGAAGGCGGGGATGTTGTCACCTGTGCAGCGTGTACGCAGGAGTCGTTCTCTCTCCAAGAGCGTGTGCGCGGGGCAGGCCTCGTTGCCCATGCCCGCGCGCGCGGCGAGGGGGGCGCCGTGTGGTGGCGCTCGCGGTTGTTGCAGGAGGGCGGGGGCAGGTTGAAGAGTTGGAGGTTGGTGAGCCGGGGGAGGAATAATCCTTGCTTCCAGAGCCGAGTCGCCTTGCTCTGGGCTGAGACCTGCCTCGAGCTCTCGGGGAGTCTGCCCCTCAAGGCACGCTCGCGGCCAGAGTGCTAAGGGCAGATGCCGCAGGGGTTCAATATATTTGCCAGGTACTAAAGTTTTTGACCATCGGCGGAGAATTGCATAGCTGGTCCCACGTGCCGCGGACGACCGATTAGGATGCATAATGATGCGGATTTGCGAGATTTCGTGAGCTCTCTGGGATGGCCGGCCAGCGAAGCAAGAGTGACAGCGTTGGATAAGGATTCCCAGGGCCACATAGCGTCAAAGCGAGAACGAACAATGGAGCATCGCGTTGACATCGGTCTGACAACGACGATGACGAAGATGACAATGACAATATTAAGTGGCCCATGCGGAGTATTGCGCTGTGAGTTACAGGACGGAGTAATTTTCACACCGTGTCTTTTATTTATCCATTTATTTAGTTAGTTATTTATGTATGTGTTTATTTTATTTGTTTACAGAGAATGTATATTTGTGGATTAAGCTATTGCTACGGGGTTAGTGTCCAACCGGCAACCAGTCGCTAAAACGGGGGGTCGGGCGTGTCCAGACATTGACGTCTCAGGGTAAAAACTATAGTACCCCGTGTATTTGTTGTGTGCTTTCTCGGGCCTTGTCCGAGCTTAGGGCGCAGCGTCGGACACAGGAGTGGTAACAGTGGGATTAGCTAGCGCTGAAGTTCACGTTTGCACTTCGTATGAAGTTCCTTGAAATCCTTGAAAAAGCTGCATAGCCCCCCCACCCTAGTGGTTTACGTATGGTGGAATGTTGCAGTGTCTGTAGACAGGGTGAACGGCCTGTGGTTGCTGTGTTATATGCGTAGTAGGCGCCTATTTCAAAACGCGTAGCCTGGTCGGATCAATGGCTGGTGCCTTCAAAAGTAGGCCTGTTGAATCAGTAGAATCGCCCATTCTTTTTCCCTCAGAGTTTCCATGGACTCTACTGCTGGGGGGGTGGCCGAGGGGTGTCTGGCCTCCCTCGTCCGCGTCCAGCTTCCCCGACCAAGTTTTCGTCCGACAAGTACTGGACAACACCTGCCCACTCGGTGTCGGCTATTTCCGAGGAGGAGGCCGACACCCCAGCACCACTTCGTAATATGTCTTGAACTCGTAGGCGTATGCACAAAGTATGTGCAGGACGCTGCACCTAGCTTGGCACCTGCACTTGCTGCGATGTTACCCTGGATGTGCTGGGGTCCCACAGTCTGGTGCTCGCTGCGTGTGGCGTGGGCCTTTGCCGTGCGAGCTTGCACAGTCTCGCCCCGTAGCCCGAGACCCGTGGCGTGCCTGTGTTTTAGAATGCGACAAATGCGGGGCCTGCGTGTTCTGTGCCGTGCCGTGCAGTGCCCGAGTGCCGTGCCAGGTCTGCGTTCTGGAAGCGAGAAATGTGCCGCCCGCGTGCCGTGCCGTGCCGTGACCCCCTCCCCAAGTTCGACTCCTCCGATTCTCTTCGGGTCGATTGCGATGGCTTCCGATGCCGATTCGATTCGGCCCGGGATGCCGATGTGGACTGCGACTTTTCTGCGGGGACCTCATTGTCCAACCGATTTCCGCCGATCCGAGTCGTTTCAATCGCCGATCCGACGTATCGATTCGATGCTGAGCTTTCCTGCCTCTTCCCTGCCCCCCTCTCCAGCGCGCCCGATTTCCGCGGCGCCGGGCATCCCCGACGCCGTCTCGGGCCCAGCGCGGCCGCGGCCGCGGCTCGACACATGGCCAAAATGATGGGCCAATTTTCCAGTACCACTACCATCGGTAGGACGGGGGAGGAGGGAGTACTGGGAGGTCCCCTACCTCCTCCTCCTCTTCCTCCTCCTCCTCCTCCTCCTCCTTCATGAGCAGCGTCATGAGTTCATGCATCGATATTGTATCTGGCGGAGTCTACGCGACAAATTCCTCAATGGGACTGGAGACCCGCTGAGCAAGACAGACGTTTTTTTGAATTGATGTCAAACTATGGCCGAGGTGATTGGTTTCGCACAAAAGTATGTGAGGCAAACGCACCCCTTCTTTTTACGACGCCGCATGTTCAAACTCATGAGAAGGATTATGCTAGTGGAGCCAATCGTACACAATCGAGATCCTAAAGTAACCATGTGCTACGACATCTCAGTTTCGGCGCCCTAGCGCCCCCCGCCGAGCTCGTAGAGGGCCGCCCCCCGGGGCGCACATCGGCGCCCTCCTCCTCCTCCTCCTCCTCCTCCTCCTCCTCCATTTTCTTTCACCCATGGTGGTGGTGGTGGTGGTGGTGGTGGGAAATCGGCCCATCCCAAGAGGTCGGCTGCGCGCCGGAGTGGCCCCTCGCAGGAGTGCCCTCTGGTGCGGGCCCACAGGCCCCCCCCCCCTACAGTCGGGGCCCTGAAGAAGGAACCCTTTTCGTTGGGGAGGGGCTCCGTGTTCCTTATTGTTTCGCAGCTTGCCTTGGATTTTCCTTAGGTTTTCGATACGAAATCGAAGTTCAACTTGTGGAAAATAGGGGCCTCGTTCCTTATTCAGGGTTCCTTAGGTCAACGCCTCGACTGTACCACCACTGGCTTGCGCGCCTGGATCGGCGACTTCTGCGGGTGTGGTTAGGCACGCCGTGGTGCCGTTTGCGATCGGCGTTTGTTGGGGGTCGCCACGCTGGGCCCCAGGCTTGCTGAGCCCTCGCTGGGGCGCGGCAGAGATCTCTGTCGAGGTCCCCCCCCGCCCCCCCCCCCCAGTCGGGCGACGAAGTCCATACATATTCGCTGCTCCCTGGCTGGGCCCTTCCTAGGCCCAGGAGATGTGAAAAAGGTCTCCTGGCCGAGCTGGGAGGGCGTGGCGTATGCACCGCTGCTGGGTTCATTGTGGGCCTCGCCGGCCCGGCCAGGCAGCAGTGGACGTGTTCAGGTCTCGCCGCCCTGCCCGGGCGCGGGCTGCAAACCGCACCCTTTGCAAGCCACACCCTTCGGAGCCGCCGCCCGGACCTGGCCTCCCACGGCCCCCAGAGGCCCATGCACCAGAGGTATGGGGGCCACTTGCGAACCATACCCCCGCCCCCCAAGATCTGATGGGGAGGGCGGGGTAGGGTTCGCATGTGGCCCCCCGGAGAGGCCCTCTCCCGCCCAGAGCCGCTCTCGCGCGCCGCCCGCGAGGGGCGCTGCGGGCGCGCCGGCGCGCGGCGGGTGCCCCGCGCAGCGGTCGCGCGCGTTCGGGCCCCGGGCGCCGAGCGCCGCTGCCCCGCCATGGGGGGGGGGAGCGGGCCCCGAGGGAAGCGGGCCCTGAGGCCTCTCTTGCCGCTTGCGGGCCCCGGGGCCCTCCACGAGCCCCGAGGCTGTCCGAACGTCGGCTGGGGCTTGAGGCCTCGTCGCGGGGGAGGGCGCCAGGAGGGCCCATGGGGCCCGTTTCCCTTGTGAACCGCTTGCCCCCTGCGGAGCTGCCGCGGCGGGCCAGCTGAGCCCGCGCGATCCCAGAGCCCGCGCTCTGGGGCGTGCTCGCTGCGGCCATGGCGAGTCCCGAGGCTCGGCGGACGAAGAAGGGCGTGCAATGAGCTTCTCCGCCTCCAGTCGGGGGCGTCCAAGATCCGCT